TGTACTACGCTTTTGTCGAGCTATACAACATACCTATCAGTATCTCACAAATATTCCAAGGGTGAGAATGGACCATTTTACGTTCACTTCGAGATCCCGAGTTATGCGTGGAATCGAATGTTGAAGCAAGACAAACAATAGTGTTATAGCGAAAGTATTTTTTTGGGTATTTCCACGCTTAATAATATTTGATGATGGAGATTCACATTTTCGTTAGATTTTGCAGCAGTAATCGTTTATATTATTTCCATTCATACAGGTATGTAGGACCGAATTCAATAGCAGACCATGTCCACGGCAAACCGTACACACGTATGACGCCTTACCTTGTGGGAATGCTGATTGCATATCTAATCGTGAAATATGGCAAAAACGTGAAAATCAACAAAGTATGCATCTATTATCGTTTATGTTAATTGTATAATTTTCTTTTCTACTGACAAGCTAGACTGTCGACAGTCAGTCGTACCTATTATTAATCAGTTATTATTAATAAATATTGTGTATAAACGTAATAGACTTGAATAAATTGCAAACGCCGGGACAGGAAGTCTGGAGTGCCGTTAGGCACGACCGACTGTCCGGTGCTGTAATTCACTGGTAAGATTTTTTACCAGATCCGGGTACTTACATATGCAAATGAATAGACGCACAGATGTCTATCATTTTATCGTGGCCAATCGTGAAAAGGCGTTCGAATGTCTAGGAAACACAATTACTTTAGGCCCGAGGACTATCGACGATCTATTGACAAGCTTATTATTTAGATTACATTTGAGATAAAAATATATAACAAATTTCTGCGTTTTTCCTTGTTGTTTGAGATAATTTAATGTTAATCACAATAATAAATTAAAATTATTTTTTCGAATGAAGATGATACATTGAGCACGAATGCTCGAACATTACTTACTTCTGTAAAATGGTATTATTCTCTAATCATAGGTTGTAAGTGCTATATGTTGGCCGATGTCTATATTTGTAGGCCTGGCAGTTGTTTACGGGTTATATTGGTCATACCAAGGACACGTGCTATCAACAGCCGAAACACTACTGTACCATTCTTGTAGTAAATTCGGCTACTCTGTCGCCCTCGGTTGGATGGTTTACGCATGTCTGACGGGAAACGCTGGTAAGTCTGTGTTTACTCGTTTATTCTACGGGGTTTATGTAATTCAAATCAAATCATATTGAAAAGTGAATGTGCTCCAACACAGTTTATGTGAAGAAGAAATAATATTATATTTTTTTTCATTTTCACCTTGCATAAAAAGTTGCGATTGAAATGATATTAAGCTGGAAGGTATGGAGAGTATTGGACAGAATGACATTTAGTGTATACTTAATGCACGCCTTCGCCTTCAACGTTTACGTAATGAATAATGACGTACTAATGCATCTCGGCTTTGTTACTATGGTGAGTTTCGTAATCGTAATACTATATTGGTAATATCCCCACATTTATATCAGATTTATCGAAAACGTAGATTAATAAATGTCTATTTGTTTTTGTTATTATTATTTCAGATGTACAGCTTTATTGCACATTTGGCATTTTCCTATCTCGCGGGATATATATTTTGCTTGGTGGTGGAGCTCCCGTTTACGCGGGTCGAACGAGTGTTGTATAATTTATGGAGCCGACCCACGGACACCGCGCCTGGTTCAGATGAAAGCTGCAATGAAGACGTTGGCATTGATCTTCAACATTCGGGGGATTAGAGTTACACGGTCAAACTTTGGATTGCATAATATCTTCTACAACAATGTTTCGTAACATTCATACGACATTAGTAGCGCATATGTAATAACAATTCAAGTTTAAAAAATGTTGTATAATTTATACCTTTTATGGGATGAAAGCTCCTTTCACATGTGATGTACGCATCTTTATCATTATCAAGATTGCAATTCCACACTTGACTTTAAACGATAACTCAGCTGCCACAATGGCGCATGTCTAAGACACAGAACTGTTTAAGTTAGTAAACTTTTAAATACTAAAATTATCAACCATTACTTTCAAATATTTCGAAACTGTATAATTCTGTATAATACAATGAAAACACCAACAAACTCTAATTTCTAGTTCTAACTAGGTCTGAACAGTTCCTCCTTTTCAGTTCATTAGTATAGTTGCTATACAATTTTATAAAGCGTTTTAGAGTGAATTAAGAAGGAAAATTCTGTCGCTATGTATTGTTCATGTAACCTTGCACCATGCTAGATCTGCTGTAAAAGTATGTGGAATTTTGAATACACAGAGGATAATTAATATTGCTTCCATATGAAAATTTTCAAATCCTTTCAAAGCTATTTTCTCTGTTATATATATATTTTTAAAAAAAAAAGATAATTCACAAAAGTGTTAATTACATTTTAGAAACCCGGGTTGTTCAAAATCGTTTCTTGGCAGTTTTCTCTTACTGAATGCCCAGAAAACAAAATGCAACATAAAATGTGTACGGGTGATTCTTTGCGAATGCAACTGGAAATTCTCTGTCATAATCGTGGTCGTCTGTAAGTAAAAGATTCTAGGGGTTGTCCCTCCCAAATTATTTGAGGGCATACGTTTTTAGTACTGGTTGATGATAGAAGACATTAAGTAAATAATCATTATCGTTGTTTGTTGTAAAATCGTATTTATTATTGTAATTATGGCGTTGCGAAAAAATGTTACATTTTTTAATGTGCAATTTCTTACTTATTGCTATATTGTTGAAATTATTTATTTTTGAATAACGGATATGGAGGCAATTTGTGTTTCACGATAATCTATTAGTTATGCGGAAGGGAAAGTGACAAATAATTGGATCTATACACGTAGAAATCGTATTTCTTTCAAGTAGGACCCGAATACATTGTTACCCTTGGTTAATCCCCACCGCGTGAAGTGTGGGCTTAAGTTGTTATGTCTTGTGTAGAAAGCAGGAAGTTTTCTCTAGACGCATCACAATCATTTTTAAAATATCGTTGGTGTGTATGGGGACTCCATTTTTTTGGCATACGTTATGAAGGTATCCATGTGTAGACTGTATGTATAATATATATTTATAATTAGCTCCGCTGTCGACTTTGTCGAGCGGAGCTTATCATATGAGTGATTGTCCGTCGTCGTCTGGCGTCCGTCGTCCGTCGTTCGTGTCAATGTTTTACTTTTTCGACTTCTTCTTGAAAACTACAAGCCTGAATGTTTTGATATTTGATGTATATGTACCTTGGGTAGACCTCTCTCAGATTTGTTCATTTCATGTGATATCTTCAATTCTCTAATTTTGATGATTTTTTTTGTCATTTTTAGTGAAAAGTGATATTTTCGACTTCTTGTTAAAAACTGCAAGTCAAATTGCTTTGATATTACATATATAGGTACTACATGTGGATCTCTGA